ATTCAGTGACCTGGTCCGAGGTAATTGGGATAGGTGTGTCAGAGACAGTGAGATCTGCATAGGACAAAGCAATGTTTTAGGCTGTTATACATAGGGTCTCTATGAGTCCCAAGTGACTCGACAGCACATAACAACAACAACAACAATATATTCCTAGCAATGGAATAGCTGGGTTATACAACCTTTGATTCTTTTCGGTAGTGTTGATTATAGGATAGAAGCAAGATGAAATAGTTGACAACCTCAGTCTTTTTCTATCTGTCATAATGTTGCCTATTGGCCCAGTGATGAAGATTTTTGTCTTTTTTGATGCTGAGATATGTAATCCATATTCAAGGCTGTAGTCTGATCTGTTGCAGTACAGATTTCTTTTGAAAGAATTGGGTGGGAGGGTGCGGAGGGAGAGGGAGAGAAAACGAAAACCAGAGACACGTTTTAAAATCCATAAAGATGAAGGCAAATATTTTCCATGTTATCTGAAACATGTGGCATTCACTTCCTAAACTATAGAAAGGCTTCAGACCTTTTGTTCATAGGGTCACTATGAGTCATGGTCAACTCGATGGCAATCAATAGCACAACAATACCTTAAATATAGAGTACAAGGAATCTTATTTATTGTTCATAGTAAGGAAAAACCATACAAAATTAGATGTTTAACTTTTGTATTAATTTTCCCCCCAATTCTCTTCTTAACTCAAACCTTAGGCCTCTCATTAGATACATAATAGAAATGACTCATTGACCACAAGCTTCTTTATTGTATTCTGTAAGAAATTACAAGCAGGTGGCCTTTATATCTTAAATCTTTATGAAGTGTGCATTATAAGTATGGAAATAGGTTAATATATGTCTGTAATGTGTCACCAAAGAACCCTGGTAATATAGTGGTTAAACATTTTACCTGGTAACTGCTAAATTGCTGTTGTTGTTGTTGTTGTTGTTATGTGCCGTCGAGTCACCTGCGACTCATAGCGACCTAAACTCCGCTCTGTCCTGTGCCAGTCGCACTGTCTCTGACACTCCCATCCCAATTATCCCAGTCACTGAATCAGTCCACCTCATAGAGGGCCTTCCTCTCCTGCGCTGTCCCTCCATCCTCCCAAGCACGATGTCCCTCTCTAAGGATCGGTCTCTCCTCACAACATGTCCAAAGTATGTTAGACGGAGCCTCAGAATCCTTGCCTCCAAGGAGCCACCCGGTTTAACCCTCTCCAGGACAAATCTGTTTGCTTTCCTAGCAGTCCATGGTATTCTCAATACTCTTCTCCAGCACCACAGCTCAAAGGCATCAATTCTCCTTCTATCCTCCTTGGTCATTGTCCAACTCTCTGATGCATAACAGGTGATTGCGAAGACCATGACCTATATCAGACACACCTTAGTCTCCAAAGAGATACCGTTACTCTTCAGCACAGTTTGTCAAGTGCCTTCAAGTCAAACATGAATCATGGTGACCCCATGATCAACAGACCTGAACTTTGTTTTATAACAATCTCAATCTCTTTACTATCTATCCTCATGCTGCCAATTGATCCAGTGGTGAGAATCTTTGTTTTCTTGACAAAGTGTGGCATCAGGATTGGTGGAAGATCTATGAACAATCTGTGTTATGCAGGTGACACAACCCTGCTTGCTGAAACTGAGGAGGACCTCATGCACTTGCTGCAGAGGGTCAAGGACTGCAGCCTTCAGTATGGATTGAGGCTCAATGTCAAGAAGGATGGACACTCTTTTCTGAGTAATTGCTTCTGTAAATCCCTTGGAGGGTCAGCTATGGGTCGGTTCTAACTCTACAGTACACAACAACAACAATAATAATAACCAAATCAATTAATACTTGAATGCCTACCACACTTAAGCAGGACATTTCTTTTATCTCATGAACCTGAATTTTAAGTCTTAGGCAACAATATTGACTTAATCTATTATTAATTTTTTTAAGAATATTAGATTCCATTTAGATAAAATCCAAGTTCTATCTTAATTTTTTCTAAATGCCATTTGGTTAAGACTCAAGTGTATAAATTCTCTACTTAAGGCCAAAATAAGATTGATTATTGATCACACAACTTTTATGGGTCTTTTTAAATCCTTGAAATCTTGATTCACTTCTGAACCAAGCTTCAAGATTTAGCACAAGTATCTGTAAAGTTTTCTGGTTTGATTTTTTTGTTTGTTTCTTTTTGTGTGGCTGGGGGTTTGTTTGTTTGTTTGAGGGGGTTGTTTGTTTTATTTGTTTATTTTTGGGGGTTTCTTTGATAGGGTTTTTTGTTTGTTTGTTTTTGCTTAACCCTCCCTGGGTATGTATCCCTATAATGAAGAGTTTCATGTGCTTAGTAGAATGCCATCTCTCCCATTTAACCTACTGGAGGAGTGTCATTTCATTTGGCACTCCTCCTATATTAGAATTTTAGAAAGTTAAGTAGTGGACTTTCTTCAGTCATTGTAGGAGTTATTAAGGTTTGTGAACATGAGCAAATGATTTCTAGAGAAATATGAAAGGAAGTGGTGAGGAAACAAGATAATTGCAACATTGTGAGTAAAACCAAAATTGCACAGGAGAAAAATATATGGCATTTAATTAATTCAGCAAATTAAAAGGAACATTTTCTTATTCAAATGTTTTAACAGTTTGACCATTGATACACTATCTTTACAAAGTCTTTGGAAAACCAAAAGTTATTATTTTAGTTAACCAAAAATCTCCATTCCTCCACTATTGAAAATGTTTCATTGCTGAATGTTTCAAATATATACACAGATACACACATAATTTCAAATGATAAGCTTGTTGTGTGTTTTTGAGTCAGGTATTCGTCATATTTGACTCTCCAGTTGTGGTGCTGGAAATATTTGACTCTCCAGTTGTGCTTTTGGAGAATGTACAGACTATCTCATGGACTACCAAGTAAACAAACAGGTCTGTCTTGAAAATAATAAAATAAAGATGCACTTTGGATGCAAGAATGCTGAAGTCCATCTCATTTGCTTTGGGCATGTTGTAAGGAGAGGCAAGTTCTTGGAGAAGGACATTATGCTTGGAAATGTTGAAGGTTGCTGGAAGAGAGGCAGGCCCTTAATGAGATGAATTGACACAGTGACTGTAAAATGTGCTCAAATGTGTGTGTTGGTGGTGAGGATAGAGCAGGATTCAGAGCTGTGGTTCATAGAGTTGCTCGCTATGAGTCGCCTTGAAGGGGACATAACAATAGTAACCAAAAGAACAAACAAATATATCTTGGAGAAAGTGCAACCAGGGTACTCAATAGTGGTAAGGATGGTGAAACTTAGTTTCATATACTGTGAACATGTTATTAGCAGGGGCTGGTCCTTAGAAAAAGATGATTGTTGGAAAAATAGAGCGTCAGTGAAAAAGAGGAAGACCCTTAACAAGATCAATCTACCCACTGTTTAGGGTGATGAACTTGAGTTTATCAGTGTTGATGAGGATGGCATAGGATAGGACAAGGTTCAGATCCATTGTACATAGGTTTGCTTTGAGTCACAGTTGACTGAACAGAGCTTAACACCAACAACAATAATGTAGAACTTTAAGCCAAATGGATGAGAGAAGTTGGAAAAAGAGCAGAATTCTGAGTCTTTATGTCAGTGATTATTTAATATAATTAAATATGAATCCTGATATCTAAGAGTGAGCATTGCAATAATTGTCTTATACAGTATTTGTCCTTATGGGACTAAATTAGTTCACTTAGCATAATGCTCTCTAGTCCCTCACAAGTCTGGTACTAATTTATAAAATTATTCCTCTGGCGTGTTATATAGTATTCCATTATGTGAATGTACCATAATTTCTCAATCCATTCCATTGTGGTTGGACATTTGGACTGTTACCATGTTCTTGCAATGGTAAATAATGCTCTTATGAACACTGATGTACCTCAGTTGTCATTCTCTTGGGTATATTCTAAGCAGTGATATAGCTGGGTCATATGAAATGTCCATGTTCAGCTTTCTGTGGAAGCACCAAACTACCTTCCAGAGGGTTTACAATATTTTACAATCTGACCAGCAATGTATAAGAGAATCCAAGGGTGAGGGAGAGTGGGAGCAGAGGGATGAGGATAGGCAGGGTGTAGGAGGTGATTAATCATAGTTTCTCACAATTTGATGAATGGATGGCATGAAGGAAATGGAAAAGTTCCAGTGTAGAATGCAAAGCATAAGAACTTAGTAAGTAAACCAGTATAAAATAAACATATTAAAAAAAGAGTGGCAATTGCAAAGAAAGTTGTGATAATAAAGATATTGTATTCCTCCCCTTTATTTTCCAGTATTAAATACATGTCATCCAATTATGCTTTGATGATCATGCCACTTAATAGCCTAGAGTATGATTAAAATACATTCAGGGCTAACTTTTCCTTCTGGAATTATAATTATAAATATTTATTATGATAAATATCCCACTGCTTCTTTCTTTAACCTATACCATTCTTAAAATGTAAAAACAAAACCGAAAATCCTTGTATATTCTACCATTCGTTCAAGACTTTTAATTCAATCTCATTGACATTGATTAGACTATTAACCATACATAACCCTCCATTAGTTTTCTGAGACTAAGTCCCATGAGAGATTGACTGTCCTTGGAGCTACTGGCAGATTTGAAACTTGAGGGAGACTTGGTTTGACTAAATAGTACAGCTTCCTAATGACTATGCCACCAGATCTCTGACCACTTCCTATTGTTGCTAATTGCTTTTGAGCTAGAACATTCACATTGTTGATTCTCAAGCTAGTTTTCAGAGACTGTGTTTTGTGGGAGAAAATGGCACATCTTTCACCCTCAGAGCAACTGGTGGATTTTAACTTCATGCTTTTGGGTGCTACTATCTCCCCATTAGGTCACAATTAAACAACATTTTACTATATTTGAGCTAAAAAATTAAAAAATAAAAATCACATAAAGTATAAGACTAATGCTGTGTTGTTGTGTTTGTTTGTTTTTTTTATTTTTTTCTAATTTTTTTCAGCTGTGTCCTGTGGAATTCCAGAATCCCCAGGAAATGGTTCATTTACTGGTAATGAGTTCACTTTGGATAGTAAATTGATATATGAATGTAATGAGGGCTTTCAGCTTGAATCTAGTCAACACGCAACAGCAGTATGTCAAGAAGATGGATTTTGGAGTAACAAAGGGAAACCACCTACTTGTAAACGTAAGTGTTCACACCTTTTTTCTGGATTTAAGTACAAACAGAGTGCATTAACTAGAACTCCAGCATGGGAGTCCTTAGTGTTTCACATCATGTTACTATTAACACCAATATTATATCCACTGTAAATAAGCTAAGCAGTCTGGCAAGTCAGATAGAATATTTGGTTCCATGAGAATTTATACAATTTCATTTACATAGTAAATCCTGTTTATGTTGCCATTTTCAATTTAGAACTATAAAGGCGAGAGGAATTTGAGACATTAAGCCTGACAATAGCTCTTGACACACAATATTCATGCATGAGTCAAAACTAGTTTCTTTCTTACACATCATTTAATATTCAGTTTTTAAAGTCACAGATAGTACTAAGTTGATCTGTACATCATCTACTGTGCATAAAACGTTGATACTCAGCAACCAGTTCACTAATTACATTTCTAAAGTAAGATAGATTTTTCTAGAAATGGATAAGTTTAATAACACTGAAGTCAGTGTTTAATAGAGAAAAAAATAGATGAAAACATCTCACTCACATACATAAGTCTGATATCATTGCAGTTATAATAAAGCAAGCCTCTAATTAGCAAACTATCCAGTGTCTACAAATTGTATAAAATTCATTATATAGGCTATTTTTTGTGAGTGAAATAGTGTTGCCAAAAGAAATTTGTATAATCTTTAGTTATTTGGCTATCTTTTAGTTAGTTATCTTTTTGTCTAAAGTTTTCAGATCATGTTTGAAATGGCAGTACCTAAATATTCATATAAAAATGTTAGGAGAACATCAGTCAATTTATCTTGCAATAATTATGCCATTTCCTGTGAATTTATTAGGAAAAACTGAAATAGCATTCATTTATAATGAATTTATAATTAAATAATAGTAGAGGAAGCTCAGTCACAATATACATTTAATTTTTTTTTAGTTAAATCCTAAGCAAAATGGTTCTCTTAATTTAAAAATGTAAAATGACAGATGGTGATGATATGTTTTGGATTGCTTATAATAAGACCAATTGTCCAGGCAGTTAAAGTACTATTTGCTTTATGCATAGTTTACAAATCATTAATAATAATAATGTCTGCCATCAAGTGTTGCAGACCAAGGGTAAAGTATTTTTATAATTATTAATAATGAGACAGATAGCCAGGAATGAGATAGAACAGCAGGAAAAACAGGGGGCCAGCAGTTCTCCTCTGAAGACCTCCAATTCCAGCTTCCCTGTATCTTAATTGAAAATTACCAGGAAGTAAATCACAAAGAGAATTCAATGCAAATGGAGCCAAGCTTTTTCTATTGAAAACCTTCCCCTTAGGAGGGAAAGGTCAGCAAATGCAAGAATCTGGTAAAACCTTAAAGATTGCCTTAGTGTCTTAGTGTGAACTCTAGCTTGCACCTCACCTCCACCACATCCTGATAGCATTAAGTTTATTACAAATATTTAGTATTGCCTTCCCATAATTCAGAATCTTCTAACTACCATATTCTTTATATGACTTAACTATCAATCTGGTAATAAAGACAAAAAATTTAACATAGATGACGTTAAAGATGAAGCTACTAATTTGGAGGGTTGGAATTTAAATTAAATTCTAATTCGTTTTAATGATTACTCTATTTTCATTACACCTGTCATTTTCTAAGTCTACTTAGAAACTAAAATGATCTATTGTTGTTGATATTATGTTCCATTGAGTCATCTGCAACTTATAGTGACTATGTACAATAGCTTAAGAACACCAATATCCAAATTTCATTTTGATGTAACTGTTCCTGCATGAAAACTAAGAGCTTTTAAACTCTGTGAACAATAATCTTAAAATGGCTTTCATTTATTAAGTTTGTTCAATATTTTATTTTTAAGTGGGTGAATATTTAGAAAGTATATCAGTATTTCATTCATTAAGTCACACACATTCTGAGTCAAAATTCAGAGAGCAAATTTGTTTTCTATTCACAAATTCATACACATTTTTACTTGGTGACATTGAGCACCATCTCTTCTTTGGAAAGTCACTTATTCTTCTTTATTTGTTTCCAGTTTCCATGCCATATTCTTTACTAATTATTTTAATTCTGTTTTTGGGGAAATCATTCCATTATTATTTCAAGTTATTATTCTTCTGGGCGTGTGTTGTTCACTTTTTTATTGTTTGCCTGAAAATTGAGCTATGAAGTAGATAGGAATTTCATTTCTAATTCTGAAGGTGACTATTATAGTTCAGGAGTTTTAGAAATAATTCTCTAACTAGCTTGGTCATTTTTTCCCCTGATTTTGATTTTTGTTTCATATTTTCTTCCTACCTTTTTAAAATTTGTCCCTTCTGCCTTTTAAAAGATATTTTACTGTAATCTCTTTTATAACAGTCTACAGTGGTAGCTAGACTCTAATTCTTCTGGTCTTAAAATGAGAGAAATAACATATGATTCAATAACCCTTTAAACCAATTGTTTCCATGTATCTTTGCTTTTTTTCACTTTTCTTGTTTTAGTCTGAAACAGACCAATACCCGAACATTAGATGATTGCTAAGAAATATTAAGGAGGAGAGTAACTTCTCTTCAGAATAGGATGTAGAATATTTTTTATGGACTTGTTGTACCGGTTGGCATTGATCTCTTTAAAAGTTTTGTTCTAAGCCTATCAAAGTTTTTGTATATAAATTCTAATCATGTTTCATATGTTTGCCTACTATGTTTTGTACTATTATCAAGGGCATATTTAGAGTGTATATAAGTTATATGAAGATATATTTGTATCAAACCTGTGTTTCAAAGTAAATCTATTTTAAATATGTACATTGTCTGAAAAAGACTGTTTTTGTTATGACCTGTTGAGTTGTCTGTGATTTATAGCAACCCTATGTGCAGTAGCTCTAAATACTGCTCTATTGAGCCATTTTCACTATATCTGACACATTTGGTCCCATTACCCCAGTTACTGAGTCAGTCCATCTCAATCAGGGTGTTCCTCTATGCACTCTCCTTCCATCTTTCCAAGCATGATGTCTTTCTCCAAAGACCGGTCTCTCTTGGCAATGTGCACAAAGTATGTTAGATAAAGCTTTAAAACCCTTGCTTCCAAGGAGAAATTTGACTAGATTCTTCCGAAGAGAGATCTCTTTGTTCTCTTATCAGTACATGGTATGTTTAATACTCTTCTCCAGCACCCCAACTCAAAAACATCAATTCTTCTTCTATCATCTCTAGTCACTGTACTGATATATAGTCACTCTCTGCTATATAGCAAGTAATTGTGAAGACCATGAAGCCTGAATCAAGCACATCTTAGTCTCCAGAATGACATAGTTGTTCTTCAGCACTCTGTTGAGGTCCCTGACAGATTTTTCCGATATAGTATGTCTTTTAATTTCTTGAATGCTGGTGCTAAGAGTATTGATTCTGGAACCATGCAAGCTGAAATTGTTAACCATCTTAACCTCTTCTCAATCTATCATGATGTTGCCAATTGGGTCAGTGCTGAGAATCTGTTTTCCAGATGTTGCATTTCAATCCATACTGAACATTGCAGATCTTGACTTCCTGCAGCAAACACCTCAGGTCCCTCTCAGTTTCCACAAGCAAGGCTGTGCCATCTACATAATGCAGTTTGTTAATGAGTTCTCTTCCAATCCTGATGTCACATTCCACCTTATAGAGTCCTGTTGCAAACCGCAACCCTTTACACAATGCCTGGAAGAAATGAACATAAAGAGATAAACACACACAGAAGACAGGACTGTAACAAAGAAAAGCACACTCACACAGGACGAGAAGTGGCAGCCTCGTGGTTCTGCATTTATTGGAATTTTATAGGGATCTAAGCAATGATCTAATTTTTTTATGGTTTCCATAGAATCATAATAAACAGTGATCTCATATCTCAGTTTTCATAGAATCATATAAGGTAAGTACAGAAACAATGGATCCAGGGAGGGCACACACTCTGTTCCTTGTTATAACTGATGTTTTTCACATGAAAGGGGTTAGGAGACCAAACGACTTAAGATATATAATTTTCAGGAAGAGAGACCTCCAAATTCCCAGCCCATTTGCAGGACAGAGGACAAAGGTTTCTCTTTAATATGAAACCAGAGTTATCTGTTTTCAGGCTGAACTCTCAGTAACCCTGAAACCCACTTGTGTGCGAGCTGGGCTTCCAATAATGATGTCCAGTCCTTCTCAGAGTCCAGCCTCCCAACTAATTTGTTACACATATAGTTGAAAATGTATGGAGATAAGATGCATCCCTGGTGTACACCTTTCCTGATTTTGAACTATGCGTGTTTCCTGCTCTTTTCTGATGACTGCCTCCTGGTGCAAGTATAGAATTTGTATGAGCACAATTAAATGTTTGGGATTTCCATTCTTCTCAATTTTAGCCACAATTTGTTGTGATTCACACACTCAAATGCTTTTGCACGATGAAGCATCAACAGACATTCCACTGGCGCTTTTTGCTTTCAGCTGAGACCCATTTGACATTGATAATGATACTGCTACTGCCATGGCCTCTTCTACATCCAGTTTGTATTTCTGGTAATTCTTTTTCTGTTTACTGTCCCAGTCATTTTTCATAGTCTTCAACAGTATTTTGCTTGCGTATGATATTGAATGTTGTTGTTGTGTGTGTGCCATTGAGTCAGAATCAACCCATCAGTGAGCCTCCAGTGCGTTTTCAGAGGCAGTAAAGAAAAAAGAATGCCCATCCTTATGCTTTGGAGCAGCTAGTGGATTCAAACCACATGTATTTAGAATTGCAGCAGAGGTTTTTTTAAACACTAGGCCAGCAGAACTCCCCTAATTGAGCATTGTTGTTGTTATGCTCCTTCAAGTCGCTTATAACTCATTAAAATCCTTAACGCCTGCTCTATGTTGGGGCAAACTCGCTGTTTCTGACACACCTATCCCCATTATCCCAGTCACTGAGTTAATCAATTTCATTCATGGTCTTCCTCTTTTGGGCTGTGCAGCTACATGATGTCTCTCTCCAAGGACTG